GTGAAAAATTTCGATTGGGGCAAAAAATTTTGTTTTCTTTTGAAAAGTTGCTTTCGAAAAATTTCCGTGTCCCTGGTTCATGCCTACCTTTATTATAATTTTCACGTGATTATTTGTGACCGGGAATCTTCCCATGGAAGATTCCCGGTCATGATATGATTGCGCGGGAAATTATAATGAAGGTAGGCATGAACAACAAATAGTAAGGCAGGGTATTAGTATCCGAAATCACATGTAAGCCAGAAAATAAGCCGGTCCAGTCCCGACTCGACTCCAAAAATCGAGTCTTTGTTAAATGCTCGGTCCCAAGCAGACCTCGCATCTACACGTGCATTTAGTATATTTAGATATAGCATAAAACATGCGTATGCTTTACAATTACAAATATACTATATGCACGTGCAGATGCGAGTCGAAGTCCCAAGTCTGCTTGGGACTGAGCATTTAACAAAGACTCGACTTTTGGAGTCGAGTCGGGACCGGACCGATCCCTATCTATACTGGTGACATTAATTTGGTCAAAGTTTGGGATTTGTGCATGGAAAAGCCTACATTAATGGCAGTTTAGGATTTTGTCATGTATATCGAAGAAAAAATATTTATCTACATACATAGATTCTGATTAGTCAACGATACATAAGGCATCTCGAACCGCGGGGTGTAATCTAAATGTTTATTCTCGTTTTCATGCATGTATTTATACAGTTGACTAAACTGAATTTTTAAAGAATCGGCTAATTTAGCCAGCCAAGCTGGCTAAGTTGACTATGAAACATTGGCTTGTAACACCACTATGTATTTAAACTAATTTTATCATTGTTCAATTCTAGCCACATAAGAAATGATATACAACTATAAAGATAATCGATCGATAATAACATTCAAGTAAAATAATTAGTTTTAGAAAATGGTTTTGAACATTTAATTTTTCTAAATGTTACACATATTGCTGCCAGGAGTCCTAAAATTGATATACCCATGCACCATTATCAAGCCAAATTCGATAATTTCGGAATGCGTATTTTCATGACATGACATGATATAGCAACCAAACAATGAAAAAAATTCTAGAAAAAGAAAAAGGACAAACCGTCATGCGTGCATACCTGTCACGAAGTTCTGATGCAAGTTAATATCCGAATGGCTTATTATTTCCTAAAAAAAAAACAATCGTTGTTAATGACGGTTACATGTTTCATCTAGTAAATTATATTTTATGCATTGATAATGGTCTGTATTGTATTTAATTCAACCTCACCATAATTACAAAGGAAAATTACTAATAAAAAAATAGATTCGACAAAGTGACTAAACTTTAAATTCAAATAGCATGTAGATGATTGGAAATTACTAATACATACAATTCTCCATAAATGCTTTATTATGATTTATAAATTATCTTTCTAATATCAGCGTGAAATGCTTATTCGTGTGCGTAATAGAATACCTTTTAATTCAGATAATTGAATTAGTAAAACATAATTACAAGAAACGAACATAAGAAAATAAATACCTGAAAATTGTCGTATAATAAATCTTTATCTTCATTATAATGAAATTGGTAATAACAAGGATCACAAAAATAAGCTGGCGATTCGCCGGATAAAAAATCGTTAACAGTCACAAGACTTTATAGAAAGACAGTAGCGTTAATAATTAAATTAAGAAAACCGTTCGAACTTGAGTAATTATCTCAAAACTTACATAGCAGGTCGTTGCATGCACATGCGGCATTTATGTCGACCTATTTTGCCTCTGAATATAGCTTTTGGGTAAACAGCAGGGTCTGGATCGTCATATGCTTGCTTTAACCTAGATATTGTTATATAACATCAAATATCATGTTATGTAATGTAAATTAGGAACAAAGTTTAAAGTACCTCAAGTCCCTAAAAACTACAGCGTGTTGACAATTCCCCTGATGTACAAACAAATACGGTTGGTTTAATTTTATTGATAATTCATTGAACGTCACATCTTCCATTGTCTTGCTACGGTAAAGACCAAGTCCAGGTTGTCTATATCTATTTTTTTCTTTAACCCACTCTATGATGTTTCTGCAAATATGAACAAGGCAAAGAAGAAATAATAAATATAGTAGGAAATATAAGTCGAATCGTATAGAGTTATTATTTTACCTGCTATAATCAGTAGCCCTCGGGTCTCTGAAATCATTATAAAATACATTTTCGATAAAAAAGTAACTTGGCGACATTTTTTGGTTTGTTTCATTTAATATAGTAGTAGGTTTCGGTTGTTCCCATGGTTCAAGTTTATAAAAATCTCGAAGACAATAGAATGCATCTCTAAGAGCAGTTAATGGTTGACTTCCCAAAACCAAAAATTCTTGCGTGCGTGTGGAATTTTTACTCTGATTGTAAAACGCAACCGACAGGATGACTTCAGGTTTATTTTCAAAGTCTTGAGTTTCATTTGGTTTGTTCGGTTTAGAGAACTAAATAAGAATAGAGTCAGTAACTTGTTAACATAGAAACACGAAACACGAAACTTACAACTAGTAAACATACTTTTACGGAAGACAAATAATTCAAATCTTCACGCTTAATATGTGAACTTTTGGTTCTATTGGTATCCCTTTATAGGGGAAAAGTAAATGTATAAATATATTCGAATGAGATTGACAAACTCAGCAGTGTCCACAAACCTTAAGCTTGCCAGAGGAGAACTATCCGACTCCTTGGACATTTCCAGATATTTAATTTCCATTGCTGATGGCTCAGGTCTTATTTTGCCCGGATCATGGTGGTTAAAATACCGTGAGCATATTGTCCTTTCTGAATTGAAACAAAACAAATACATTCCAACCTGCATTTTTCTCTGATTTCTTTAAGCTGTTTCTTGCTAAGTTTTTCAGACAATCTAGAATCGCATCGTATGCTCTCCTCTTCGCGTCCAAGCTCCAAACTGAAGGAATCCAGGAATTTTTGAACATTAATCAACTCTGTTGGTTCTCCTATTTGAAGAGACCATTCTTTTTCTGCACACCGATTAGTCTCCGTCGATGGACTAACCATTCCCTCATTTGTCTTTGGAAAAGAACCAGACATACCGTATACGACTGGCCAAACTACCTTCCTGTCATAAAATAATTATCGGTCATGCGGATATTTAAATGGTGCATATGATAGTTTATTTATGTGTAACAATACTGAAAAAAAAAGAACTTGGACAAAAAAAAATTTCAAAAATAAAACAGAATATTACAGCAAGTAAAGGTGGGAATCGAAACTAATTCTTAAAGCCTAAAGGTTTCGGGTTTTAACTACGCAAATCTAGTACCGAAATCCCAAACTAGTGCCGAAACCCCAAACTAATACCAAAACCCTAAACCCGGATGATTTTCCCGAAACCTAAACTATCCCAAGCTAATACCAAAAACCTAAACCAATACCGAAATCCCAAACTAGCACCGAAATCCAAACTAGCACCGAAATCCCAAACTAATACCAAAACCCTAAACTTGAATGATTTTTCCAAAACCTAAACCAATACCGAAATCCCAAACTAGTGCCGAAATCCCAAACTACGTAGTGCCGAAATCCCAAACTAGTGCCGAAATTCCAAACTAATGCAAAACCCTAAACTTTGGTGATTTCCCCGAAACCTAAACCAATACCGAAATCCCAAACTAATGCAAAATTGCATATCACTAGTCTCGCGCAAAGCATATCTCTAATCAATATGTTTAAAAAAAAAAAAACACAAAAATTTACAGCTGTTCTCATAAATTCTGGGACAACTGATAAAAATTGTCTCAGCTGAATTCGATAAGTTTTTGAATTCGGTGTTATTGATATTGGATTTTCGGCATTACAGTAATGCCGATAACACCGAATTCAAAAACTTATCGAATTCGGCCGAAACAATTTTTATCAGTTGTCCCAGAATTTATGAGAACAGCTGTAAGTAAATTCAAGGACTTTAACTACGTAGTGATGGGACCAGGGACCCCGGACTTGAACCGAGAAAAATTTCCTTAATCGGTTAACAGAACCGAATTATTTCATTCAACCGATTGCCAACCGGTTCAGATTAACTATCTACTACATCAGAAATTCTCGGTGCTATACTCAAATTTTTGTCTTGTCTTTATGTTCATTCAGTTTCTTTTCGGAACTTTTCGTCGGACCATTTACTCCCTCCTTACATCATTTTCATACTTTGCCAACTAATTACCCAATTCTCAACCGGTTGTATCGGTCAACCGATTAAGAATTTTCTTAACCAGTTAACCGAAATTTATTCGGCTCTGGTCGATTAACCGATTATAGCCCAACCGATTCAAATCACTTGATAGCAAAAATAGTTAAATGAAATTAGCGAATTTAGCAAAATATCTTATTATAAATTTATATTTATTAAGTATAAATTTTAATGTAATCATATTTTTCTTCTGCGAATTCTTTATCTATTATTTCAATGAGTTCTCCGGTCATCATTTAAAATTACTCGTTTATGTAAATCAGTTCAAGAACAAAGGTAATAATCATATGTTTACAGCTGTTCTCATAAATTCTGGAAAATCTGGCAAAAATTGACCGACCGAATATCGATAAGCTTTGATTTCGCAGTGATTCGGATGTAATTACAACCGAATCAAAAGTTTATCACTGCTGAATCAAAGCTTATCGAATCGGCAAATATTCGGTCGGTCAATTTTTGCCAGATTTTCCAGAATTTATGAGAACAGCTGTAATGCAAAGGTAGCAAATTTCGCATCTTAGCACAAGACAATTGTTGCTAGCTATTTTGCTAAAAAATAGCGCTATTTTAGATGCTACAAAAATCCGAGGACCCTGGATGGGATTACCGAGCTGCTAGTTAATAATAGTTAATAATAGTCAATAATTTCGATAATTGTTAAAAATTGTTATGCAAACATTTTAATTACTGCATACGTATGTATGTAATTGTTTGGGTCAAATCCCGCTAACTTAATGCGTGCTATGATTGTCGTTAATTACTGTATTAACGCGAAAATTAAATTCTACGTACGTACGTAGTAAAAAGTTGAAATATAAATAAGTGTATCCATACATAAGATACGACCAGGGCGGCCATCGATTTTACGGGTCATGTGGGTGGCGCCACCAATGTTCAATATGTATAATATGCAGGGTCAAAATTTTCATAGCGATAGAACCATAGATCCAATACTGTTTCGTTTTCAACAATTGCTGCAGGTGGCGCTACCCACATGACCCGTAAAATCGATGGCCGCCCTGGTCGTATCCCATACATAATTAATAAAATTTTGTCACTTCTGCACTTCGCAAACAAGAAAAAAAAAAAACTCGTCTTCCGAAACCGTAATTTTAATGTTCTCTCATTTTAATAAAATACCATTTAGTACGGAAATATTGGCATATTTTTCGCCTGCGCGGTACTAATACTAAATAGCTGCGCCATAAATTATTAAGTATATAGTTTTTAGTTAATTCGGGCTACCGGTAATTGTTATTATTAATAATGTGGCTGATGGATGTCGGAAAATAAAAAGTAACAAACGAAATATATACTTGTCACAAGTAGTGATGCCGTAGAATCGTCCCAATGAAGTTGAATGATAGTTGTCACATGCCGTAACTATAGTAAATAATAAGTAAAGTTACGGCTATAATGTCGTAACTTTACTATGTTACTTACTATAGTTACGGCAAGTTACAGCCATGTGACAACTATCATTCAACTTCATTGGGACGATTCTACGGCATCTCTAGTCACAAGTAATAGAAGTGCTTCTATAATTAAATATGTAAAATTTATAATTTTTGATGCATTTAATTATAGACTCAACGTAGGTTAAAAAGGCTGTAATAAAACAATAATTGAATCAAAGCTGGAAATTAAGTAGGTATTTTTTGCCCTGGACCTCAACTATAGCCATACAGAACAAAAACAAACAATGAACACGATTTGTTCGTTGATTTGCTCATTATATGACACTGTTTCACATGATCAATTATATTTGATAAGCGAATCCTCAAAAAGTCCGTCTTGTTTGACTCGGATTATCTACCGAAATTAACGCACTCTGATTGGTCAGCATGTTAAACAAATTACCGGGTCAAAGTACATTAATTTCGTTGGGTCAAATAGTGGTCAAATGAAGTATGTTACTTAATTAAATATCATGACTCTTTTGCTAAAACTTTACAAGGGGCTAACGAATAGATAAAATGCATCTTCCAAATGAAAATTACAGACTTTTTTGATTAATATTTTTTTTTCATCAATTTTTTCTATTGCAGTATTGTTAAAGTTATTACGGTGATTGTTGTATTACTATCGTGTCCTTTCATGTGCTCAAGACTTGTTTGAATCTAGAAATTCAACCTTTTATACAAATTCTACAATTACACGTACGTGCCCACCCTGCCAATTTCTTATGCATTTATGTGGTCTTCATCTCGAGCTTTTTTTTTCTACTTCTATTTGTTTAGAGATAAAAAGGTGTTTATTGATTATCCAAAATATTTGTTATACGTACGTACGTATGTACGTACTTCAATATCGATCTTGAATATTACGTATCAAAACTAATCAAACTAATAAGGAAATGTTCAGATTTATTACGAATACGTACTTATTTATTATAGTACATATCAGGTATTAAAATTTCACGAGTATGTAGTACTTATCGTTATAGTATGTTATAATGATATACGTGAAATTTCGTGTGGCAATTATTTTCGTTTTCATTTAAACTAGTTTTAAACTCGTTACAAGGTGAACAAGCTTCTTTACCAGCTGGCTTAGCGAGATAATCGACTGGCTTAGTAGTGGCTTAGTAGTTTTAACTTCTGAAGAAAAGATCAACCCATTTATGTCTTTTACGTAGTGTAAAATTTAGACACAGGAAATTATGAGAATTAGCAAATATACATCAGTGCCTTCAAAGGACTTTGATAATGAACATAATGAAGGTGCTTTAAGTGAGCATGGTGAAACTTCGGAACCTCTGTGGGTACAGGGGACCGATTCTCTACCAGAACATGAAGACTCCTATGAAACAATGGAAGAACATGAGATTATGCTTAGTAAGGAAAGAGGAGAAGACGATACCATAGTAGAAGTAAGTGAAAATTGGGATAAAGAAGAGTATTCAAAGAATAATGTAAGTTTGTAATTATGAATTGCTTCAATTACGTTCAATAAAGAAATGTCTATTTGATTGATCAACTATCATGTCGAATTTTAGAAAAATGAAAAATCGATTCTTCCATGTCTGATTATTGCTACAGTTTTTATAATCGCGTGGGTTGGTTCAACAATCATATATGCATATTATCGTTCTGGGGATGCTACCCCAGCAAATAGTTCTTTAAGTAGTATACAATTTGATGATTTATACAATGGAAGTTTTTATCCTAAATGGACTTCATTGGTATGGAGCACTACTGGTACATTATTAATCTTTTATAGCTCTCTGAAAATTTTTCTTAGTATCAATTCAAAAATTCAATTGTATTATTTTTTTATTTAGATAATGATGATGGTGTATTCATTTATCAAGATGATGATTATAATATTATTTTGGAACAAGTATCTGACGGATCGAAAAAAACTTTAGTGAAGGGCATAGATATTATCGATGTACGCTTGTGCTTTTATAAAATGTTTTTTTTTTTATTTACTTTAATGCGTTTATTTATTATTTTTTACTTTTTTTATTTTTATTTATTTTATTTTATTTTATTTTAATTTTTATCAGCCGTATGGTCGCCCTCTCGATTATTTCGAGTTTTTCGTATCAGCGGATAATCAATATATATTGTTTGGATCTAATTACTCAAAGGTAAAAAAAATGGTTTTATTAATCGTGTATTGGATATGTTTAATTTTTAAGTATTATATTAAACCTATTTTATGACTTTCTTGTATAGGGATGGAGACACTCATATTCTGCAAATTATTATATTTTTAATATTTCTTCAAAAACTTCTTTTCCTCTCACAAATGAAATTGACGCTGTAATTTCCTATGCTGAATGGAGTCCTGTTGGTCATGATATCGTAAGATAAATTTCAATCTCTAAAACTCTGGTTAGACTTAGTATTTCGTATATATAATTTATTCTTGAATGAATTCAAACGTACCTAAGGCATTCGTCAAGGATAATGATGTATATGTATCGTTAGGACTGACTGAGGAACGGCGAATAACATATGATGGATCTGACGTCGTTTTCAATGGCATTCCGGATTGGATCTACGAAGGTATTAATAATCATTAAATTGTATAATACTACTGTACTATATGACATTATTTCTAATACATCTGTCCCTACAGAGGAAGTTCTTGCCTCAAAATACGCATTATGGTGGTCTCCTGATGCAAAACGTATCGCTTATCTTCGCTTAAACGAAAGCGAAGTGCCTGAATACCGTTTTCCACTTTATGTTGATGGAATGCACGTTGAACCATATGTAAGAGAAGTTGTGATGAAATATCCGAAACCTGGTTATCCGAATCCTATTGTTACTTTTCATATATACGATACGACAACTCCTTTGATTTCCCAATCGGGTGCCGTTAATTTTATAAATGATTTTACTAGTGACGATAAAATAATTACTGAAGTTTGTTGGGCTGGTAATGATAATGTATTGGTTAGAGTTATGAATCGTGTACAGGATATTGCGAGAGTTGTTCTAGTTGATCCAGTTACTCGAAATGGCGCAACAGTTCGAGAGGAAAATGCCGATAAAATGGATGGTGGATGGTTTGAAATTGTATATATTATTGGTCATTTTGCCTTTTCTTACATGACATATTTTGTGCTAGACTTATACTCTCAATCCCTTTATTTAGACTAGAAGTTGGGTCTACCTCAAAAAAGGCGGTAGCATTAGACAAGATGCTTATCTAGATGTAGTTGTCAATAATGGATACAATCATCTTGCAATTTTCTCTCCGTTAACTTCTAGTTCACCACGATACCTCACCAGTGGTAACTGGGAAGTTGTGGAAGGTGTTAAGGCTGTAGATCGTAAACGAGAACTTATGTACGTGTACACTTGCGTATCAATATATATATATATTTTTTTAATATCTGCATTTATAACTATTTTGTGATATTTCTAGATATTTCTTGAGTACCGAAAAATCATCAATGGAACGACATTTGTATTCAGTTAGTTTTGACGGAAAAACTAGAACTGCTTTAACCCCAACCAACGAGACTGCATATTATTCTGTAATATTTTCTCCAGGTGCTGAATATTATAATCTAAAATACGAAGGCCCTGATGTTCCTTGGCAAAAAGTATTAAAAGTTAGCAATAGCTGTAAGTATTACGTTTACAAATATTGGCTACACTCAAATTTTATATTAAAAACCTTATAAATTGCTAAATCGCAGTTTCATTTTAGCATTTGAAATTCTCTTGCAAGACAATAACGAGCTCAGTGAATTACTTAAAACTATTGATTTACCCACAATAAAACGTTTTACAGTGGAAAGTGAAGGAAATCGTAAATATTTGGTTTTAAATACATTCTCATTTGATCATTTACATATCCAATATCTAATTTCCTATCTAATTTCCTATCTAATTTCCTATCTAATTTCCTATCTAATCATAGGACTCAACGTTATGGAGATCCGACCACCAGGATTGGATTTAACCGGACGTGAAAAACACCCTGTTCTTTTTCATGTATACGAAGGTCCAACTTCTCAATATGTTAATACAAAGTTTAATATTGATTGGCATTCGTTTTTAGCGTCTTCACCACGCTTAAAATATGTTGTTGTGTTGGTTGATACTAGAGGAACTGGATTCAAGGGTCGTGCTTTTCGTTGTAGTGTAAGAAAACATCTGGGAGAATTCGAATCAACAGATATAATTAATACAGCAAAATATTGGGCAAATTTACCGTACGTTGATTCTAGTAAAATGGCCATTTGGGGATGGTCATTTGGAGGTTTTGTAACTTCTAAAGTTATCGAGATGGATTCTGGGATGTTTCAAGTAGGAATGGCTGTAGCACCAGTCACTGACTGGAGGTAAGTTATCAATTTTGAATTCCGCTACAAATGTATGTTATCTCAAAATTTTCCTTTTTTTTTAGGTTCTATGATTCGATTTACACGGAACGCTACATGAAAACTCCTGCATTAAACCCACAAGGTTATCAACATAGTGCTATAACCAACATGTCCGGGTTCGATCATGCCAAATTCTTAGTAGTGCACGGAACTGGTGATGGTAAATATATATTTTTTTTTCATGATTTGATATTTTTTTTTATCATGATTTGACCCATTTATTTACAATTTATTATTTTAATATAATAACTCTATTTCGTGTTGATATTTTTGTAATTAAGATAATGGTAAGGAGGATTCGTTCAATGACTTTTTTTGTTATAACGAGACTATCATTTTTTTTAATAAATATATATTTTTTAAATATATTTAGTTCACTTTCAAAATACAGCAAACTTGGTAGATAGACTTACTTTAGCATCTGTCCATAATTACCGTGTGCAATTTTATACCGACAGCGATCACTCAATTAGCAAACACAACGCAAACCGAGAGGTATTCGTTCAACATTCTTGTGATTAAGAGAGAATGACACTTCTTTTCTGACCATGACTTATTTTTTTTTTTAGCTCTATTATTTACTGACTGAGTATCTCTGGCAAAGTTTTGGGCCTCCTGACGCTTTATTTAACATATAATTTGCAAAAAAAAAAAAAATTTGGTGCGCATTTCTTATTTTCATCGCATAACAATTACATTTTCCTTACGATTAAACTGAGTTTAATGTATAATATGTTCATTTATTGAAACATTCTGAGGTCAAATGTTAATTGACTTGTACAAAATCATGGAGTAATTAGATGATCGTCATATGTTGGGATTAGCACAATATTGGCGTTTCTAGAGAGTATTATTATTGGCTAACTTTTGTTACATAAGAGACCAGTTATAGGTACTCTTCATAATTACTCCTTATTGTACTAGGTTTTGTTATTGAAAAAAAAAAAAAAAAAACTATTTTTAATTCTTATTTTATACAGAAAAAAAAATAATAAAAATCTTTGGTTAAATGGATTGGATTTACCCATCCTACCGTTAGTACACTGTATACATTTTAACCTGACTTTTCTAGTGCGCTTAAATTTAATAGGCTACATACTTTGGTCAAAGTTATTATTATAGAGTCATATTTGGGTTAAAATTAAAGCAAGATTTAGGGTCATTTGAATGAGTAAAGTGTCAGTAGCATAGCGGGCTTTTATTCTGATTGGCTAATTTTTGTAGATTAATAAAAAACGAGTTCGAAGTAAAAAAAATGTTACGTACATACAAGTTCCGGTTAGCATATTTTTAATAAGTAAATAGAAGCACAACGGTGTGGGATTAAAAAAAATGTTATAACGCGGTTCGATACTTCTTAGAAGAATAAGTTTCGCGAGTCTTCCAAAAAAGTATTGTAAAATAATATAAAAAAATTATTTCTCAATTGTGTAACGATCTTCAAATTGATGGGAGCAGATCACATTGTTGTACAACCACATGCGATTGCTGTGAAACAGGGGGAACCGTCCAATGTTACACGAAGTTCATGTATTGTCACATGCTGTTCAGCCAATCAAATCGTAAGATTT